TATTATATAATTAATTTTTTTACTCAATAATTCATTCGTAAGATTATATATATTCATTCATTTAATATCACTTTATATTTTATTTAATGTACATTATAATTATAAATTTATAAATTTATGTAATATTATAATTATAATATTACTAATATTAAACATTATTTTAAAGAGATTTGAGTAAGTTTCAAGGGTTGAAAATATATATATTTTGTTTTGAACAAATTACAGTTTGAAAAAGAAGAGATTCGAATCTTAATTTTAAAGTTAAGGGTACATCTTATGATGAGAAATAAAGCTATCCACCCACAAAACTCAAGTGCGAAAATGTATATTTTGTTTTTCTTTGGTGTAGGAAAAATATACGTTTTGTTTTTTAGTCGGTCAGGTTACTTTAAGTTTCATGCTTATTGAGACTTATCCTTTTTAATCTATTATACATTTCAATTTCAAAATTTTCATAGTATGTTGGCACTATAAGTCTTAGTAACCGAAAATTTGATGTTAGACCTAATCTTTCTCATCCCACAAAATTCAAACACTAAAACCCATCTGCATGTTTGCCAGGTGTAACCTCCAGGAACTAACACATGTCCGAAAACGACCCCAAATTCTATCTTGGTAACGAACTCCTGAATTGGCACCTGTAAATTAACCATCAAATTAACTCAGAATAAAACCTTTGAAACTTCCCCCTTAAGTCAAATCCTCTCTCTTCCCTCTTCCCTCTTCTCTTCATATCTAACTTCCGTCGTTTTCTTCTCCTTGATTCAGCAACTATGGCTTCTCTCATGTTTTCCTTCTTTCCCTTCCTCCTAGTCCACGCCATTTTCTTCCTTTCTCGACCTGCACTTTGTGATGGTAATATATTTCTACTTCTCATGGATTAATCTTCCATTTCCATCGCATATTCTTTGGAAATGTGATTTTTAATTACTACTTTTAATTTGGTTTGTACGTTTTTCATATATTTAAACTGAGAAATTCGAATTTGAAATTTTTTTTTGAAGATTATGATATGAAAATTTTCATAGTATGTTGGCACTATAAGTCTTAGTAACCGAAAATTTGATGTTAGACCTAATCTTTCTCATCCCACAAAATTCAAACACTAAAACCCATCTGCATGTTTGCCAGGTGTAACCTCCAGGAACTAACACATGTCCGAAAACGACCCCAAATTCTATCTTGGTAACGAACTCCTGAATTAGCACCTGTAAATTAACCATCAAATTAACTCAGAGTAAAACCTTTGAAACTTCCCCCTTCCCTCTTCCCTCTTCATATCTAACTCCTGTCGTTTTCCTCTCCTTGATTCAGCAATTATGGCTTCTCTCAAGTTTTCCTTCTTTCCCTTCCTCCTAGTCCACGCCATTTTCTTCCTTTCTCGACCTGCACTTTGTGATGGTAATATTAATCTTCCATTTCCATCGCATATTCTTTGAAAATGTGATTTTTAATTACTACTTTAAATTTGGTTTGTACGTTTTTCATATATTTAAACTGAGAAATTCGAATTTGAAATTTTTTTTGAAGATTATGATATGAAAATTTTCATAGTAACAGAATATGCTAGACTAATTTTGGGGCTTCTGAACTGGGTTTTGTTTTTCATCATGTTTCAGACGAAGACAACCTTCTCCAAGGAATCAACAGTTACCGTACATCTCTAAGCCTCCCGGTGCTGACCAAGAACAAGAATGCCGACTGTGCCGCGGGAGAACTTGCCGATGACTTAGAGGATCAGTCCTGCGACGCTGCTGCCATCCCTTCTCCTAACACCCTGTCCACTCTAGCCAACTACCCCAAGGTTGCTTCCAAGTGCAAGATCGACGTTAACACCACCACGGACGGTGTCATAATGCCCGTCTGCGTCCGCAAACTAGTCCCTACTCTGGTCCTCACCAACTACACCCGCACTCACTACGCCAAGTACTTGAACGAGTCCAAGTACACCGGCATTGGTGTCGGGTCGGAGGACGACTGGACGGTGGTGGTTCTGACCACTAACACGCTGGCGGGGAGCTTTGCTAGCGGAGCTTGGAGGATGTCCGAGAAGATTGGCGGTTTAGGGATTGGGATGGTTTTTGGGTGGTTTTTCTGGGTTAGGTAGTGAAGAAGAAAGACTGGAGAATGCATATGTTTTAGGTTTCTGTATTTGTGTCTTTGTGATTATGTGTTTGCTTGTGATTCTACCTTAATTATTCTGTCCTTATAAGATTGTAATATTGCTTGGTATTTTTGGAAATTTATGAAAAATTTTCAAAATTTGAAGAAATAATAAAAATGCTTTTAAATAAAATGGAAGGCAAAAATGTTTTAAAATCATACTTTTTTCTCCTTTTCAAAATGAAATACTTAAAATACCAAATACAATTAACTTTTTCAAATTTGAGAACAAAATAAAGATGGTGGCCAAAAAATAAGAAATAAAAGTTTTCAAAACATGAAGCAAGAGACTGAAAAAGTAAATA